GATTTTTCCATTGCACAAGAGAAACAAATGACTCCTTCCAAAGAATAAATAGATGGGAAGGAGTGAGCTGGTGCTGAGCGGAGCCGGGGCTCCGGCTGGGGTGAGCGCTGGATGATTGCTCAGAGCCACAGCCAACGACCTGCTCCTTGGCGGAGCTGAACAGATCCAGATGCTGCTGGGGCAGCTCAGTGTCAGCACGTGTGCTGTGGCCCAGGGGGCATTCAGGACTGTGAGGGCCGATGCTGGCCCCGTCCTACTCAGTGTCACACTGGGGCTGGGCAGGACGGGCCCTTCCCTGGTGGGGGACACGTCCTCATGTGCTGCTGCTCTGTGTCCCCAGAGAGCTGTGAGGGGGTGGTGTGCGGCCCTGACAAGGTCTGCAAGATGAAACACGGGCGTCCCCAGTGTGCCTGTGCCCCAGACTGCTCCAGCCTGCCCCGCAAGCTGCAGGTCTGCGGTTCTGATGGCTACACCTACCGGGACGAGTGCGACCTGCTGACAGCCAAGTGCAGAGACCACCCTGACCTCGAAGTGATGTACCAGGGCAAATGCAAAAGTAGGTGCAGTTGAGCCCCACCCCGCTGTGTCCCATTCCTGTTCTGCCCCTGTCCTATCTCCATCCCCCGTGGTCCAGGGAGAGAAGGTCCATCCCAGTGCAGGGTCTCACCTGCAGGACACAGGTCCTGCTGCCCATTAAGGGGACATTGTAGCCTGTTGGTGCTCTGGGGTTTGACCTCACTGCAGACTGAGCAGTAACAGTCCCTAAAATGTCATTTACAAACGTCAAGCCCCTTTTTTTCCTCTTTTGTAAAGGGCGCAGTGATCCTCCTGGCTCTGCCAAGAGCTGTCAGAAGGATTATGGTTATTTTTCCAGCCCTGCTCTCTGGAAGGCTTTGTCTGTCAAGCTCTGGGCTGAGCAGGGAAATGTGGGGCAAGAAATGGGAGTTTGGGAGCTGCAGATGCCAAATCTTCCAATCCAGCAGGGAAAGAAAGAGAGGAAGGTGGAGAGATGATGGGGTGCATGAGCCCCCAGCACCACCACCTCCCAGCAGAGCCCTGTGCAGGGCCTGATCCTGCTGCACAGGCTCCCTCCACCCCCACGCGCCCTTGCTCCAGCGCTGGGTCGAGTCCAGGGTGACCCTGCCCTTCCCTCTTGCCGGGGCCAGCACGGCGGCTGCCAGCCTGGCTGCAGCAGCTGCTGCTTCCCTGCCAAGGCACCTGCGTGCGGCCGCGGGCCCGGCCAGGTCCCGCTGCGCCAAACGGGCTCAGCCCCGCGCTCCACCGCTGCAGCTGGACCTCAGCTCCTCCCGTGCGGCAGAGCTCTGGCTGGGGCTGAGCCTGAGGCTGGGGGCCACGTGCTCGCTCACACTCAGGATGTCAACCCCTGCCAGCCCCTGCCCTTGGGAGCACCATCGATGGGGAAGATGGGGACCATTCAGCCCTTGGCTCCTCTCTGTTCCCCAGTAGCAGAAGTCGGGAGGTGACTGGGTTTCCTTGGGGTGATGTTCACTGTCCACCTGGGTTGGACGAGCTGTGGGAGGGGTGGCCTTCCTCGGGTCACCCCAGCCCCGTGCTTCCCTGCAGAGTCCTGCTCCAGCGTGGTGTGCCCTGGCACCCACACCTGCGTGGTGGACCAGACGGGCAGTGCCCACTGCGTGATGTGCCGGACAGCTCCCTGCCCCGAGCCCACCAGCCTGGACCACGCCCTCTGCGGCAACAACAACGTCACCTACCCCTCGGCGTGCCACCTGCGGCGGGCCACCTGCCACCGCGGCCGCTCCATCGGCGTGCGCCACTACGGGAGCTGCTCAGGTGAGCCGGGCGGGGCGGGGGGCAGCGCGCACGGACCCCCAGCACCTGCTCACCTCTCACACCCTCCTCATCCCTTCTCTCTGCTTTCAGCTGCGGCCAAATTCTCCGCAGAGACGGACAGCGTGGAAGAAAACTACGTGTGAATCCTCCCTCGGCCGAGCCGGAGCCGGGAGACAGGGGCATTATGTGTATATTGTACAAACCATATACCTGATATTTATTAAGATAAAAAGATCCTTATTTATCCCTGTGTATGTTATGCAGTCGCAGGGGGCTCGATTCCCATCCTGCCAGCCGGGGAGCAGGGGTGGGGGCTCACGGCCAGAGAGATGCTGAGCTGCCCTGGGATGCTTTGGTGCCCACCTAGCGCCCGGCAGAGCTCTCCGCTGGCCAGTGCCCTTCCTTGCTGCCGGTGCGGTGTGGAGGGGTGTCCGTGGGCCCCCCCTACGTGTCCTTGGCCGGCAGCCCTGGGCCTATTTATTTTTGGATTAATTCTCAGTACTCTGCTGACGTTTCTGGCTGGGACCTCGAAGTCTAGAGGGAATCTGTGCTTTTGCCTTCCCTGAGGGGCTCAGCCCCAGCTGCCAGCAGCAGGAAAGGCAGTGCACGCTGCATCAGATTGGAGAGAGATAGATATATATTTTTATATATATTAAAAAAAATATATGTATGTTATTGTCTCCTAAAGTTTCAGCATGTGTGTGTTCAAACAGATTTCAGTTTAGGTCTTCCCAGGCCCATTCAGACCAGGCTCTCACCGTCTTCGGAGGTGATGCCAGTGCAGTGGCAGCCCTATCTGGGGGGCATGACCATTCTCCCTGGACCACTGAGCCCCCGCCCAGAGCCCATCACCCAGGGCAGCTGCCCCCAGCCCTCTTCATCCCTCCCTGCCAGAACAGCTTCAGATGAAGCCCAGGCTGCAGGGAGAGATGGCCCTGCCCACCCCTCCAAGAATCCCCAAACCGCAGCTGCAGGGCCCTGTACCCCCTGCTCTGCCCACACCTGTATTTATTTTTATTCCTTCTCTCATTTCTTCTGTTGTCACCTGTGTAAATACCAGCTCTGCTCTGACACCAAAAAGCTCTTGACTTTATATAAATATAATTTTTATATATATATTACCTATAAAAATACCTTATCTTCTTTTTTTATGATTGGATTCTGAACCTCAAGGCAGACGCTTTGGGAACACCCACATTCCCTATTCTGTATTGTTGGAGCATTTTATGGCTGTGTTAGACTTGGATTATAATTATAAACCAGATTAAACGGTGCTGTGGGTCTGGTTTTGTTGGGCAGGCTCTGGGGCCGCAGGAGATGTTGCTGTCCCTGGGGCTGTGCCCCTGAGCCGGGGTCAGGGGATGTGTGGAGCCCCCAGCAGCAGTGAGGAGCCGCATCCCATCTGCTCCGGCTTGGCGCTGGGGTTTTCCAGCCCGGCCAAGGCTGCTCGGTGCAGCGGGAGGGAAGGGAGAGCAGGGAAGAGCGAACCGCGACGCAGATAAATCTGTTCCCAATCTTGGGCTGTGCCATGAGGGTTTGGTATTTCACAAAACAATTCCTGCCGGTAATTGGGTCCCGATGTGGGATGCTTCCCGGGCGGCAGCCTGTGGCTTGACGTGCTGAGCTCCACAGGAACTGCGGCTGGATCTCCCTCAGCTGCATCCCCTGTGCTGGGGGCCAGCATGGCACAGCCCCCAAACCCCCCCACCAAGCCCCTCAGCACCATGCCCAGCCCAGGAGTGCATTGCAGAGAATCATTTTCCAATCATTTCCAATCATTTTCCAATCATTTAGATTGGAAAAGACCACTTAGATAACCCAGGATGGTCGTGGGACTTTCTCCTGCAGCCCCTCCCTGCCTGCCCAGCTCAGCCACGTCCCCCTGCTCTTGGGGATGGGTGTACAGGAGTTCCCAAAACGCTGCCCATGCCCTCCTGGGTGCCAGCGCTGCTGCACACAGTGGTGTGTGGCCTGGGTTCCTCCACGCCCGCCCGCAGTGCTTCCTGCCCACGGCAGCTCCCTGCCCTCCTGCCCCGCCGCAGGGTTTGGCCTCGGGAGTGGCTGGTGCATGGCCCCGTGCCGAGCCCGCGGGCACAGCAACAGCAGCTCCTGTGATGAGCAGGAGATTTCAGCCTCCAAAACGTGGCTGTGAGTCAGGCGCCGCCTTCTCACCAGTTTTTGGGTGGTCTGGGACAAGCTGGGACAGGCGCCGGCTCTCCAGGCTCCCTGGCAGCGTGTGGAAGCCCTGGGGCTGGCAGTCCTGTCCCAGCATTCCAGGGGGTCTCTGCCCCACACTGGCTCTGCCAGCACCCCGCTGGGATTTGGGGCTTCCTTGGATGCTGGCAGCCCAGCAGGGGTCTGTCCTCTACTGGGTGTCCCCACGGCCACTGATGAGCGTGGCTTGTGTCCCCTGACCCTGTGCAAGGCCCTGCAGCAGCCACAGTGTGCCAGCAATTTGCAGATAAAACAAACAGCCAGAAGCAGGGAATGTCTGGGTCTGTCCTCAGAGACGGCCGCGATGCTGGGCAGAGCCACACATGTCTCAGCTGAGACCCAGCAGCAGCTCAGCACATGTCCCCTGGCCACTGCGGGCACCCAGCTCCCACGGGGTGAGGGCCTGTCTGTGGGCGGGGAAGGTGGATGAGGCTCCTGTCGGATCCCTGTGGGCTCTGCCAGCACAGCTGGGAGCCCGCCTGACCCCAGGGGGTGTCTGTGGTTCCCCTGTTTGGGGGGTCCCGTAGAGCAGTGGGAAGGGTGTGGTGTGGGACGGGATGGAACAAGATGAGGCGGGATGGGATGAGATGGGATGGGGTGGGACAGGATGGGATGGGATGAGATGGGATGGGGAGCCCCACCCCTGGCAGAAAGGCAGCTGTGGTGGCAGCACCTGGATGTAGATCCTGGCTCCTCTGGGGCAGGGCCTGGTCCTGAGTGAGGCCATGTTCCCCTTCTTCCTCCTGCACCCCCTGCTCCATCCACCCACACCCAGGACAAGTCGGGGGGACCAGAGCACAGAGGGAAGCAGTGGGATGGGGACTGAGGGTTTATTGACAAAGGAAAATGTTGCTGCAGCAGGAGGCTGTATGAGGTGCTGGGGGTTCTGGTACAGCCTGGGGGAAGATGTGACACTGCTCACTAATGGGCAGAGTGGGGGTCCTGCCCTGACCTGGGTCAAGGAGCCCTGAGCATCAGCTCCCAGCCCCCACCAGAGCTGGAGGACGTGGGAGTTCTGGCCCTATTCTCACCTCCTGAGAGACATCTGAGCCCCTCTCCCCATAGCCCGCCTCCAGGACCCCCTCCCAGCCATGTTAGGGCTTTGGCCTCCCCTTCTGATGGCGGGGCCCTCGCACAGTGCGATGCACCCAGTCAATGTAGTTGGAGATCTTGGTGTAGATGTCGGGGAACCGGCGGTCCCCACATCTCTTCCCAGAGAATGAGACAATACCATAAACCTTTTCCTTGAAGATCAGGGGTCCCCCGGAGTCACCCTGCAAAATGAGGAGTTTGGAGGGAGACCAGTGGGTCTCCCAGTGGGGGCAGTGGGGCCCGGAGCCGGGGGTGCACTCACGGCACAGACGCCCTGCAGGGTGGCGTTGCGGCTGGCCCCGCACAGCATGTTGGCCGAGACCTTGCCCCTCCACAGCGCCCGGCACAGGCTGCGCTTGACGATGGTGGTGTTGGTCTCCATCAGCTCGGCGGGCCGGTCGCCGTAGTTGGAGGTGTCCCCCCAGCCCACCACGCAGCAGACGGTGCCCGGCTTCAGGTCGATGTGTGGCGAAGGCAGGCGGATCCGCTTCACGTACTCGTTCAGTGTGGCCGACCCGTTCAGCTGAGGGGGTGGACGGGGCATGGACGGCTTTGCTGCTGGGCAGAGCCCTCCAGCTACTCCTGCCTGGGGCCCTCTCCACCCCATAGCCTGCCTCTGTCCCAGTTGACCTGTCCTGCTGACCCCTCCAGCCCTGCCCTTCCCTCTTCAGAGGCTGGGCCCCCCCACCAGTCCTTCTGCACTGGTCCCAGTCTGCTCTAGAGACTGACTGCCTGGGAGTCACTGACCCGGACAGTCAGTGTGTCCTTGGTGCCTCCATCGCACCCACGGCACGGTCCGTCTTCTCCGGAGAAGCACTGACATCTAGTGTCGGTTCGGCCCCGCGTGGGCACCCGACCTCCCTCCGTGCCCCAGGGCGTGGGGCACCCCCCTGCCTGGCCACTGGGTGCACGGTGGCGGGACAGCGGCACGCCAGACTCACCCGGAGCAGGCGGATGTCGTTGTCCACGGCGCGGGGGTTGTAGCGCGGGTGGGCGATGGACTCAACCACGGTGAAGACCTGCTGGGACGCCTCGGGCTCCTCCAGCCGGTGGGCACCCAGCACCACACGCACCGAGGGGCTGTTCCTGCGGCCGGGGGGAGCGCCTGAGCAGGTGCTGCCAGGCTGGGGGCCATCAGGGAGAGGGGGTGGCCCAGGGGGATGAAGGGGGAGCACAGGTGGGAGGGGGCATCTCCAGGACTGTGTAACCCCCTGGGATAGGGCTGTCAGTTGGAAGGGGTCACGCTATGTTCAGGGGCAACAAGGCTCACCTGGGAATGAGGCAGTGGGCAGCTGTCATCACCCACTTGGGCCACACAAGAAAGCCCCCGCAGATGTGCTCCCCATCCATCTGAATGGAGGCGATGAAGGGCCGGGAGTGGGGTACTGCTGCCTTTCCCCCGATGATCCGGCTCCCCTGGGTGCCTGGTGGGTGCAGGTGATCATTGGCCTCCTCTGTGCCACACGGTTTCCATCTCCCACCCTGGGGACCTGTGGTCAGCTTACCTGCTGGGGCCAGTGCTGGGAGCAGGATGGAGCCTCCCAGGCTGATGATGAAGAGCCCAGCCACGACCATGGTGGTGCAGAGCAGGCCACTGTTACCACTGCTGGGGCTGCTCAGGGTGGCGGTGCTTAAATCCCTCCGGGGGCTGAGCCTCGGGGTGGCAGCGGGTATCTCCCTCCTGCTTCCTCTCTCCGGGTGTTGCTGCTTTGTGCAATTCAGGGGGTAGGGGGCCCTGGCACTGCCATGCAGCTTCCCCCAGAGCGGGAGAGGGGGAGAGGAGCAGCTTCCCAGTCCTGACTCCTCCTGTGACTTGAGCTAACTGGGATGAAACCTCTCTCTTGGCAGGGAGGTGGGAGCAGCAGGACTCCAGGACACCTCCCAGAACATGGCAGCATCCCTGGGGTTGCTGTGGGTCCCACAAGGATGGTGCTGCGCTCCCACCCAACGCCTCTTTTGGCTTCTCTGCTGGCTCTGGGATGATGTTGTGGACAGAGGGGCAGTTTCTTCCCCCTGTTCTGCATCGCCTCGGAGTGCAAAAAGGGGTGCAGGGGATGTGAAATACCAGGCTGGGGGTGCACACTGATGCTTGCTGCAGAGCCAGGCTTGCTCCAGGGCCGGGTGCGAAGCTCTCACCCAGCAGCAGGCAGATTTCCCAACGGGGGGTGGCTCGGGGCTTCCTGTGGCAGTTTGCCCATCGAGGCCGTTGGGTTGGGAAACGGGGCAGCGGAAAAGGGGGAGCAAAGGGACGGCGGTGCCTGGGGTGGGGCAGGATTGAGGGGCTGCATTCACAGGAGGGGGTTGCACATTCACAGGGGCTGCATTCGTGGAGACGCTGCGAATGCAACCCCTCCAACCTGTCCCGCACCGGGCATTGAACAGTCGAGACTCGCCTCGGGACCCTCAGCAACAGCCACAGCCCCGGCGGTGCCGGCGCCCCGAGGCCGGGTGATGGGCGGCGGCAGTGGCGGGGCGCGCCCGGCAGACGGAGCTGTGCGGGAGGGAGGCGGGAGCACCGGCGCGGTCCCGACATCCCTGCGCATCCCGCAGCCCCGCCGGGGATGCCGCCGCCCGCCGGGCCCTGAGCGCCGGGACGCCGGCGGACGCCGGCCCCGCTCCGCCGCCCCCCGCCCTCGCCGGAGCCGTCACCGGGACCATGGAGTGAGTACCGGAGTCGCGCCGGGACCGCGGCACCGAGTCGGGGCTCCCCGGGCCCCGCCGGTCGAGCACCGCAGTGCCGGGGAGGGGGGAGCGGCGGCCGGGGACCGGGGCTCGGGACCCCAGTACCGGAGCTGCGGGAAGCGCACACCGTCGGCTCAAAGAGCTCGGAGCAGTGGCTCGTAACCCCCTGATGCCGGGGCTGGGTAATCCGAACCCGGGGTCTCATATCCCCCTGGTCCTGGGGACTCAGCACCCCAGAACTGGGGGCTCATATCCCCCTGATCCTGGGGACTCAGGATCCCAATGCCGGAGGCTCGTATCCCCCATATGCTGAGGCTTGGGATCCCAAAACCGGGGGGCTCACATTCCCCCAGTGCCAGGGTTCGTGACCCCAAAACCGGGGGCTCACATCCCCTCAGGTGCCGGGGCTCAGAACCCTAATACAGGGGGCTCACATTCCCTCAGTGCTGGGGCTCAGGACCCCAATACCGGGGCCTCCATTCCCCCCAGTGCCACTCAGCAGGTGCAGCCCCTCCCCAGGTCCCTGCTCCACTGTGGGGTGCTGGGGTGCTGGCTCGGGGTGGGGGAGCAACAGCAGAGGCCTCCATGCGGGCGTGGGGGGTGCAGGGGGTGTTGGGGGTGTCTGGGCTGCCAGCGGTGAGGGAAGCAGGGGGTGGGGAGGGCGTTTGTTTTTGTGTTTTGAACCTGTTGTTGCCACTGTGTGTGGTGGGGCGAGTGGGTGGCAGGAGCTGCGGACCCCTCCCTGCAGTGGGCCCCCAGCCCCTGCCCAGGGACCCAACTGTGGCCAGGGGATCCTCATGTGTCGGTTCCCACCAGAGGGATCCGGACAGATGGACACTCTGTGACCCGGCCTCAGCCTTTGTGTGCCGTGGTGGGGCCCTGCCCGGCCGCTGGGAGCCGGGCGGATGGGGGAAGGACGGAGCAGGCGGGAGCCATTGGGGTCTGCTGGCTGGGGACTGTCCTGCCTGCATACTGGTTTTGCACCTCAGAGATGTCAGCAGCTGGTGCCAGGAGGGCACGGGACTGGGCAGCTGCTCGAGGTGCCAGGTACCAGAGCTGGCCCTGTCTCACCCAGGCCTTTCCTTGCCTCCCGTGGCTCTGGTCCCCACCATGGAGAACCAGGGGGTCCCCAGCACCTTCTGGGCTTGGCACTGGGGTTTTCTGGGGCACCCAGCCAGCTCAGGGTCAGCCACCCTCCGCTCCTCACAGGCACATCACCTCACACTGATCTGTTTTTATCACTGGCTACCGAGACACTGGGTGCTCAACAGGTCCTGCTCGCCACCCTCTGCCTCCCAATGGGAAGCCCTGAGAGGCCATGGGGCACTGGTGAAGGGCAGGGTGAGGGGTGTCCTGGGGTCAGGGTGGGCTTTGGTCAGCTTGGGGTTGGAACTGAGCGGGAGGAACCAGTGAAGGTCTGAGGATGTTTTGGAGACTGGGCTGCAGTGACTGCTGGACTGGGGAGGCAGAGCAGCTCCCCATGCTGCTGGAGGGGACAGAGAGCTGACCAAGGCAGCCCCACAGTGCCTCGGTCCCTGCAGGAAAGAGCCTTTTTAGGGAGGAAAACGTGTGTGTGATTTGCCAAAAGGCAGCAATGAGGTGAAGGGCAGAGCCGAGGGGTGCGACGTGCCCTGGGGAGAGGGTAAGGAGCTGCCAGACCAGGTACGGGCTTTCTGGGGGTGGAGGCATCAAAGGCTGGGGTTGAAGTGGGGGATGGCATTGGGCAGGATTATGGCTCCTGTCCCTGAGCTCCACACAGTGCCCTTCACCCAGCTCTGAACCAACCTTCTCAGCAAGGGCTGAGGAATCTGTGGAGGAGTGCGAGGCCTTTCCCCCACCAGCTCCATATGCTGGACCTGTCGATGTCTTTGGAGTGAAACTCCTCAAGTGACCTGGAGTGGGGGGCACAGCCACAAAGCAAAACAGTGCAGCCCCTCCAGCTGCTCAACTCCAGAGCCTGGTGGTGGGGCTGGAGGTTTAGGAGAGTCCCAGGGCAGGTGGGGACATGGCGAGGTGCTGCCCTGCGGTCGGCCTGGCTCTGTGGCAGCCAACGGGTGCTGGGGCAGGCACTGCTGCCTTTGCCTTGGCTCCTGCTTCACCTTGGCACCGGCGGAGGCTGGAAGAGGGTCCTGGCTGCCACAAGCCACTGGTGCCCCGGGAGGTTTGGCTGAAACCTTCCAACTCTGGTAAAGGCTGTGCTGGTCCCACTGGAGCTGTTTGTCCTCCTCTGCTCCCGCCACCATCAGTGCTCTTGAGGAGCTGGAGATCCTGTGTCTCTCCTGTCCACATCTGGCTGCTCTGGTGGTTTGTCTCACTGGGTTGCCGCTCTCCCCTTGGCTCAGGGGGTGTCCTTGGAGCGAGGGGTCTCCTGATCCTGCCCTCACAACCCTGATCGGAAGCCGACAGTTGCGCCCAGGGGAAGGAGGGAGATTTCTGCCTGAGGAACAACCCATGAGCCCTTTGGGAAAGGACTGAGGACCCTGCTCTCCGCTGGAATCCAGGGAGAAGTGAAACCCAGACTGGGCCCTGCTGCCTCCTGGCCAGGTGCAAAGAACCAGAAGGGGTCAGGTCCATCCTGTCCCTGTGTGCAGCTGAGGGGACAGCACTGTCACCCTTCCCAGCTCTCCCAGAGGAGGCCATAAAGCTCTGCCACAGATGGCTCAACAACGGCACCTGGCCCTGCTCGAGGCTGGCAGATCATGGGGCTCAGAGTTCAGCCACTGCTGTGAGATGGGGCCTCTCAGCTGGACCTGCACTGCTGGGAGGAACTGGAGCTTCCCAGGTTTCCTGGGAAGCCAGTGTTGGTGTTGGTGCTTCCTGGCCAGAAACAGCGCTTTACTCTGGGCGGGGTGGTAGTTCACATGCCCAGAGCTGTGCCGGGAGCTGTGCTGGGGCTCCAGCACTGGAGGTGCCGGAGGAAACCTGGGGAGGTGCCGTGTCCTGGAGCAGGGTTGAGTGGAGGTGCCAGGATTGGTGCTGGAGGCACAGCCCAGGTTCCTGAGGCTCTTTACTCTATCTGGAGACAAGGAGCCCCTTGACCCCAGGCAGGAGCCACTGTCAGGAACAAGGATGAGCCTGGAGGAGGGAGAGGAGCCAGGTGGATCCTACCCCAGACAGATGTTTCCTGGTGGAGCTCAGCTGGACATGGGTTAACCCAACCCTTGGGCTTGGCACTGAGGACTGAGCTCCCCCCAGGTACCAGTACTCACAGGGGTGCCCCTGCCAGGATCCATGTTCCTGCCAGCTCTTGGGAGCCTCATGTGTGCCTGTGTTCATGGCATTGCTGTGGGAAAGCCACGCTGCCCCATGTGAACGGGAACCCAGGGAAGGCTGGTGGCAGGAGCCAGGTGCCGTGTCCTGGCCAGTACTGGGGCTGCCCATCCCAGCTGGCCACTGCTCCCAGGTGTGGGGAGAGGCCAGCTCCACTCTCATTCATAAATCCTGGTGGGAGTTTCCCAGTGGAGCCTTGCTTCTCTAACTGGAAGGGAGCTGGAAACCCAAGTATTTGGAGGGTACTTGAACCATTGTTTGAAAGATCTGTAATTTTCCAATCAAACTCCCTCCCCAACCCTCCGTTCATCAAATATTCATGGGATCCATTTTCTCCTGGCACTCCCAGCCCACGTCTCAGCTCGAAGAATCAATCAGGCAGCTCCACTTGCTTTAATGCATCTGCGTTTTCGGGAGCCTGGGGCTGCCATCTCCTCCCCCCGCCTTCCCCCGTCCCCATCCCCTCCCCGGGCAGTGGTGATGGCTGGGGCTGCACCGGCAGCGTGGGGAAGGCACTGCTCACTGCAGGAAGGAATGGGATGGGTGCTGGGGGATGCAGCAGCAGTGGGGGGAGGCAGCCACACGGTGGGGCAGGGCAGGAACAGCCCCTGGGTACCAGGATCTGAGCAGGGTTCTGACCCTGTGCTGGGCACGCGGCTCCTCAGCTGCACGGATTTCTGACCATCCTCACCCGAGCCACTGCCACTGATGTATCCGCCTTCATGCTCAATGCATGGTGGCCCTCGGGTGACTGCAGCCCCCTCCCCTCACCTCAGCACCTTCCATCAGGGGCATTTGATCGCTGCCCGTTGTGAAATGGCTTTAGGATGGAGCTTTGCAGCCTCCCCATGGCCACGTCACTCCAGGCCCGGCCAAGGGGCCTGGCTCCTGGCATGGCAACAGTGCTATAAATCAGTGCTGGTCCCTCGATTGTAGCCACGGCCACGGGCCCTGGGGCCCTCCCCAGGGTCGCTCCGGGGGTCCAGGCAGTGGTGCCCGTGCAGGGTGCTCTCCTGCCTTCCCCTGGCTCGGAGCTGAGAGGGTGGGAAGGGAGCAGAGGTCAGGGGAGCGGAGAAGCAGCTTGAAATGGCTCTTCGCACATTTGGATGAGCTAATGGGAAAAAACAGAGGAAGGCAAATAAACATTATTGTTTCATGTCAGGCGGGAGGAGACAAAAGGTCACGGGCTTCCCTTGTGATGGTGGGAAATGGCAGCATCAGCAGGGCTGGAAAGAGCTGGAGAGCCAAGGGAGAGCGTGGGTGCAGGCGTGTGTGTGCTCACACACGTGTGTGGGTCCAGCCTCAGGTCCGGGAACTGGGGCTGGGAGCTCCCAGGGCACCATCCCCCATGTCCCCGCTCCCTATCTGGTCTGGTGGTTCAGAGGGTGAGGGTGAGGGGTGCGGTGGCCCCACCGTTCGACTCTTCCAGATGGATCTGGAGCATCAGAACCCCCAGGGAGACCCCAGTGATGCCAGGGTTGTGGCCCAGCGGTGCTGCCAGAGTGCCTGGCCTGGGGAGTGGCACCCCTGGCCCCAGGGGGCCCCTTGATCCCTCCGCCCGCCTTGTGCATCCCCCCCACGGCTCACCCGT